CGTCTCGTTCAAGACTACCGTCGGACCCGTTGGAATAATTTGGAATTTCTTACAATTCTTCACCACCTCCCAACAATGGGTATGGTTGAAACTTTTTTTTCCTTGCCCAGTAGCACCAAAAAACATTTGTGCTTGTATAGTCTATGAAAAAACAATGAAAATGCAAGAAACTTTAAAAATTATTGGCAATGCAACAAGTATTAAAAAAAAAATTAATGGAAATACAAGAAACTTTAACAATTTATTAGAAATGCAAAACAAAATTTAAATATTGCAACAAACATTCATATTAATATTGGAAATACAAGAAATATTAACAAAATATATAAATTGCAAGAAATATTTAAATAAATTTAAATATGACTTAGAAATTAATAAAACAAAAATTACAAATAATTTACCTTACTGGTAAGGTTTTCCCCGCTTCTATGGTTGTCCATCGCCTTTCCCAAGGCATCCCTCCATTTCGCCAACTCTTTGTTAAGAATTTTCCACCTACTAGATAGTGTCTGATCTGTATGGGTCGAACCAATTACCCTTTCATAAAAATCCTGATGAATTTTTTTCCACATATGCCAGAATTTCATCTCATTGCCCGTTACGGGACAATGACTAATGTGGAGCCAAGACTCACACAAGCTAACATCTTCCATGACGCTCTATACCCCTCCGGTTTCACTAGAAGAACCCATAAATTTTTCTAGAAAAATTCAACTTCAAAGTGAAAAAAATATTGACTACAAAGTGAATAATGTAGAATGAGAAGAAAATGTATGAAGAGTTGGTGTTAAAAGTGAAGAGTATTGGTTGGTATTTATAGGAAAAAAATCAGTATTTTTTTGGGTATTTTTTCTAATTTTTTTCGATTTTTTTTCATGTTTTTTTTGGGCAGAATAACAGCTACCGTTGGATTGCTGGAAGAAATGAATCATACTGCCCAGGGCATCGCCACGTGGAAGAGAGCCGTTGGGTGCGAGTTTCGATTTTTTTTTTCATTTTTTTATTCACGAAAAATGGCTGCCATTGGATTTGGAATAAAGTGGATTGGACAGCTCGTGTGGGCGCCACGTGGAATAGACCCCTTGGCGGGTCACTGTAGCAGGCGCGTCAAATTTTTTTTAAGGTTGGCGCGTGCAACGCATGCGCCAACGTTAAAAAAATTTAAATAGCAGCGCTGACGTCGTCGTGATGTCAGCGTGCTGACGTCATGCCAAAACGAGTTTTGCTACTCGGGCTGAACCTCCCCAAGGGCTAGCCCAGGCTGATTTTTTTTTGCTGGGGCCCACACCTTGCCCTGGCAGATTTTTGTTGCTGGAAACACCATTTTGGACTTGCCCCCCCCCCCCAGCCCTCCCCCAAGGCCCCTTGCTGGAAATGCTCTAACCCTTCCTTTCTCTTCTCTTCGCTTTTTTTAGGTTATGTTTTAGGATATGATTTCTCCACTCCCCTTTTCCTTTTTAATACTTTTTAATTATGCTTAAATGTCAAAATGGTCCCTGTGTTTTATCCATTTGGCCAATTTAGTCCTTGTATTTTTAATTTGACTAATTTAGTCCCTGTGCTTACATCTGTTAGCCAATGTAGGACAATCTATCAAATAGAAGTTACAATAGACATGCATAAGGGTATTTTAACACAAACCAAAACCCTCGCGACTCTATTCCTTGGCGCCAATGACAATTGTCATAGTCTGCGTTCATGAGAATTGGGGTTTCAAATTCAATCAATTCCCTTGAATATCAATCACTTCACTTGAGTTCGAATAAAGAGGGCAAGGAGACGAATCAAATCTGATAGAGGCTCAATCAACTCGGTTTTGGTTTTGAGATCTTTACATTCCTTCTAATTTTTTATTTTTATTTTGGGTACAATACGGGGCCAAACACCCAAAATCAAACAAACTACATAGGAATCAACCTTGAATTAGGGGTACTGCTAGCATCAGCAGCAAGAACTTCATTAAGGAAGAGAGGTTCCATATCCAAAACATGAAGGCCCAAAGGGAAATCATAGCTCTTGGCAGCTAAGGTATCAGCAGCCTTATTTTGTTCACGTACGGTAAACATGAGAGAGGGAGCAAACCCAAACAACATGGAACTGCAATTTACAGCAATCACGATGAGAGAGAGAGAGAGAGAGATCTAGATTTGATTTGTCTCCTTGCTCTCTTTATGCGGACTCACGTGAACTGGTTGATATTCAAGGGAACTAATAAAATTTGAAAACCCTAATTCTCATGAACGCCAAGGAAAAGAGTCGCAAGCGTTTTAGCAATTGAGTTTGTGTTAAAATACCTTTATGCCCACCCACGTGCTATGCATATGTCTATTTTAACGTCTATTTGACAGATTGTCCTACATTGGCTAACATATGTAAACACAGTGACTAAATTAGCCAAATTAAAAATATAGGGACTAAATTGGCTAAATGGGTAAAACACAAGGACCATTTGGACATTTAAGCCTTTTAATGAATTTTATTCTTTCTCTTTCTTATTCCATCATCAGACCTTTTCCTCGTGCGGACTTCAAATACCTCAAAATTCGGACTACTGCATCCATATGTCGTACACTTGGATTATGCGTAAACCTACTTACAACAATTACTGCATATGCCATATCAAGTCTAGTGTTAGACAAATAAATCAAATGAACCAACCTTTTATATCATCCCTTATCAGTTGGAACTTGATCTAGATATTCTTCCAACCCATGATTTTGTTCTATAGGAGCACCAATCTACTCACACCCAAGCATACCTATTTCTTTTAGCAAATCAAGAACATATTTTCTTCGTGACAAGAAAATTCCATGTTCAGAACGAGTTATCTTAATACCCAAAAAATATTTTAATCCACCGAGATCATTCATAGCGAACTCAAAAGCTAAATAGCCTTTTAGTTTGCCGATTTCATCAAGATCATCACCAGTCACAATCATATCATCCACATAAATAATATGAGTTGCTAACTTACCATTCTTCCTTTTAAGAAATAAAGTATGATCAGCATTGCTCTGCTCATAACCATATTTTTTCATGGCACAATGGAATCTCCCAAACCAAGCTCTCGAAAACTGCTTCAATCCATACAGTGCTTTCTTAAATTTACACACAACACTGGCATCATTAGGAGCATTATAACTTGGCAGCAATGACATGTAGACTTCCTCTCGTAAGTCTCCACATAAAAAGGGCTTTTACATCATATTGCTGCAATGGCTAGTTAAAGTTTCTAGCTAAAGATAATAGAACTCGAATGGTATTGATCTTAGCCACCGGTGCAAATGTCTCTTAATAATCAATACCATAAGTTTGGGTAAAATCTCGAGCCATAAGTCTGGCTTTATACTTGTCAATAAAACCATATGGTTTGTGTTTTATGGTATAAACTCATCTACAACCAACTAGTTTCTTCCCTTCTGGCAGTTGCACCAATTCTCCGGTATGATTTTTCTCAAGAGCTTGCATCTCTTCAGTCATAACACTGGCCCATTTTGAATCAAATAACACATCTTGTACTTTACTAGGATTAACCACCATATACATTTGATTTACAAATGCCTGGCAAGCTTTAGATAATCTATTAGTAGACATATAATGAGCAATAGGATATTTTACCTTTGTCAAAAGCTCTGGTGAATATCTATTTGGTGGCTTCCCACAATTACTCCTTGGTGGTAATTGATATACACTATGCTCAAAAATTTCACAATCATTGTTAATATTAATCAAAGATTCTATACTTACCTTAGAAATGTCAACATGAGGAGACTAAGGGTCGAGTACTAGAGAGAGGGGTGACGTCGACGTTATCAGTTGTGGGTGCGGTATTGCTAGAAGGTTCGGTCGCAGGTGCGGTACTGGCCTATATGTACAGACCGGTTTTGTGAAAGTCGGTTCGTTACTAGCTGTCAAGTCACACATGGTTAGCCAATTAACCTCAATATTATCTTGAAATAACTCAATCCATTTCAACTCTTCAATGTTACTCTCCCTAAAAGAGGAGAAGGGGGTACTGGGTGAGGAAAATACATCTCATGCTCGAAAAATGTATAAAAACATCGAGTCGACAGATGAAAGCACCGATAACCCTTCTGATAGGGGTGATAACCAATAAACACACGGTTCACAACACACGGATCGAATTTCATAAGTCGGTGTTTGTGCAAGTTCACAAAAACGTGCACAAAAGCTATACACCTAAAAACATGAGGCAAAAGAGTGAAATGAGATGGGAGGGAAACATAAGCCTTCAATTTTCCAATGGGATCTTAAACTACAGGACACTGGTAGGAACAAGATTAAAAAGATAGACTGCAAAGGTGATCGCCTCCTTCCAGAATTAGGGGGTCATACGGGCACCAATAAGACTAGTACGAGTAATT